CAGACCTCTCCTGACCCGCCCGCTGCTCCCCTCAGCAGTGTACTTCGTTGATCTGCCTGTTCTGTTCCCCGCTCTGTCTCTGGTGAAGCCTCTCACTGCCTCTGCACCTCTGGCCTGTACCCCAGCTCTGTATGCTTAAATAAATACATCTTTAAAAAAAAATTACAATAGTGTGTAAACTTGAAAATATTGAACACATAGTCTTTGTAACATGATCTTTCAGTAGGTCTTTTTTTCCCTGTGGTTGGCTATAAGATACTCTGCAAGAGCAGTCTTTACAGAGAATATGAGTGTAGGAGTTTTTCTGATGTGAATAATATAATTTCTGAATTCATAATTAAATTTAAGTCATCACTATTTCTCCATGGATTAAGAAGTTCCTTTTTGGAAGAAATTTACTAGTTCATGGCTGGCAGTAGATGTTTAACTGACATTTAAACCAAATGAACTACCTACATAAATCTCCAAACTTTTCACTAAGTCAAAAGATTTTGATTGAATGCTTCTTACTCCATGGCAGCATGGAAACACTGAGGAGCTTTAGCAAATAATACAGAACCTCTGCCCTGGCGGGTCCTTCAATCAAGAAAATGAAGGCATTGTCTTTTTTGTTGTTGTTAAATCCTTTCATAATTTTGTTAGGTTTATTCAAAGGTGTCTAATACTTTTTGAAAGGTAAAACCCTTTTTCAGATAAATTTTCTAATGTGCTTTTTTTTTTATAGGTAGTACACATCATATTCAATCATTTTAAAAACTAGATACACAATTATTGTCCTGCATATATAAACATGATCATTAATACTTATAGGTAAAATATTACCATTTATTGTTTGGCAAAGTTTTGGGACAATGCTGTTACCACCATTGCAGTGATAGTTTTTTCTTTGCATAAGTTGTTTCTCTAATAGTTATGCTTTTAGTTTTTCTAATTTAAATATTGTTGGCTGAGTTTTTATGTAGGCATCATTTGTCAGGTACATGTTCTAAAGACTTGTATTATTTTTGGCTCAAATTTAAAAAGCAAGAATTGATGTGAAGTTTAATCAAGCAGTGTAAGTGATTACAAAGTAGAAATTGAAATATTATTAAAATTGGATGCTATAAAGTATAAGAGATAGAAATTAGTGATTTAATCTTACGTAATTAATTCCAGCTGACTCATTTGCCTTGTATTTTATATTTATGTAAATGTAATACACTTTCTGCTTGTGAGCTGAACATATTATAGTAAGAATGACAAAATCTGGCTACTTTCTAGTAGATAAAATACAGCCTTTGTATTTAAAACAACACTTATGCTAATCTCATAATTTTTACAAAAGCACACAATGCACAAAGAAATCTGCTGAATTTTTACTGAATATAGAACTGCTATTTTATTCCTTACCCCCCAAAGTGTTCTGAAATTAAATTAGTTTGAAATGTCAATCAATTCCATTAATCTGCTAAAAGAAATTTTGTTCAACCCAGTATCCCTGACCATTAAAAATATGCAAATATGGACCCTCCATGGTGGCGCAACGTCTAGGACACAGCACTGCAAGCTGGAGGCAGCCGCTTCAGTGCGAGTTGGATCCCCAGCGCCGGGGATCCACATGGCGGGGCAGACCTCTCCTGACCCGCCCGCTGCTCCCCTCAGCAGTGTACTTCGTCGATCTGCCTGTTCTGCTCCCCACTCTGCCTCTGGTGAAGCCTCTCAAACCCCTGCACCTCTGGCTGTACCCCAGTTCTGTATGCATAAAGAAATAAATCTTTTTTAAAAAATGCAAATATATTTCAGCATTTGCCTTTGTTTACTTCTCATCTTGAAGTAAACACATGGAATAATACATTGAAATACTAAATTGAGAATTGTCTGTTAAATTGGAAAAGACATTATGAATACATATCACAGCCTGCTTTACTCAACTAAACACAATAAGGCAATTCATAAATTGCTTCTGCCATTAAGAGTGAAGATTCCTTAAGGGCTTACAACTGAGATGAAAAATGCACAAACTGAAGAATGATGTAAAAAATAAAAATAAATAAGGCAAAAACCACTTTTGTATACTAAAGAGAAGTAACAAATGCAAGAATTTACAAATCAGTAGTATCTTTTTTAGTGCAGCTGGGTTGTATGTCTGTATAGTCCTTGTTTTTAGAAGGACCATTATTTGTTTCCTTGCTGTGAAAGGTCTCAGCTACCGTTGCTGCCACAGGCTGCTGAGAATCTGCCCAGGTGTGCAGGAGGAAGTTGATAATGGCAGCTATTTGCCCATGCCATACATTTTTTGTTTTCTGGAACTTATTATGACAAGTCTTTTCATGTTGCCCTCTTAGATTTAAGGTATAAAATTATATACCTTTGCAATTAGGATGCAACCCAGAAATTCTAGAAGGAAGCAAGCAAATAAATTAAAACAATACTGAAATGTGTCCATGTACACATTGGCTATGATGTATGGAAGATATATGTTTTCAAATTATAGAGGGTTAATGAGCAAAAATGTTCATCTTTCAGGGACTGAAATACAGCATGAACAAGTAGCAAGAGATTCTGTCTCATCAGAGAGAATTTAATTTTTATATGTTATATTGTTTCACGTATAAGATGGCTTCAATTTTTAGTAAACCCTAACATAGAAAAATTGATATAATTACACAAATTATATATTGATAAAATTATTTTTATAAGGATATATCTGAATATTTTGAGTAGTTGTCTAGTCCAGAAAACTTGTGAGAGTGGCTGATAATACTAAAGTCCATTTTAAATTCCTCTTCACCACCCTCCAAAGCCCCACATTTTCAGGGATAATAGTATGAATATTAACCTATATGGTGTGATTTAAAGTTATGCAATAGGACAACTTCTTTCCTTTTAAAATGTTTTACATTAATATCACAAATTCAAGAAATATCCTCAACATGTGCTTTGGGACAGTTAAATTCACCATTTACTGTGAATTGTTATAGGTTGCTAATTTATTGTCAACAATATTTATGGGAGGAGGTAGAAATGGATGATAAAGTAAGAACAGGACTCAGCTATTCTGGAAAGTGAGGTATTCCTAGGTGGGAGATATCTGATGGGTGTACAGAGCATCATGAGGAGGGAGAGATAATGCCCGCGGGAATGCACTGAGAAGAGGTGTGTGAAAGCTGCATATTCCCTAATGAAGTTTGGGCACTTGCTGGGAATTGCAACTCTTTTACAGCATATAATCTGAAGCTGAATTATTTAAATATTGCCAAAGTTATTCATAACTAGAAGTTCCCAAATACATATTGACAGGCTAGTAAATACATTAGCTTTTAACCTTTGATCGATAAGGCTTGAGCCAAAGCCTAACGACCTATGTTAATCTGGTCAGCCCTAATTGCTGTTCAACACTGCCACTGCCACTTGCCTTTCATCCCAGCCATGCCTCCTCCCTCCCATCCTATGCATCTTCTTTACCTGACTAGATTCTGCCAACCAGTGTACCCCACCCTCACTTAACTCATGTGCATTTTATCCATTTCCTCTTAACAACTTCAGCAAGCCTCAGAACATAGTGCAGAAAAAGGATACAATATAGTAGGAAAAAGTGTCACACTTTTAATTTAAAATTATTAGGAAAATTTATAAAAATGATTCAGAAAGTAAAGTATCAGGGGAAAAAATCACAAAAAGAATAAAAGGAAAGGGAAAAAAATTTTGACAGAGCACGCTTATTTGTTTTGACATTTTAACTGAGAAAGCCAAGTTTCTCATAAACCTTGTTAGCCAGAAATGTAATAGATAGAAAAATGATTTTGGAAATGTCCTTTCAAAGGTTCCCCCAAGTTTTTATGGGCCTAAATGAAAATGATCCCTGCCTTCAAAAAGCATAACATAAATTCAAACTCAAACAATTAGACAAGATGCACAATGGAATTATGGATGCTAGACTTTCTCGGGTTCATGCAACAGATCTTCAAATACACTCAATCTGTGCTCCCATGCTTTCTTACACTTCTATATTTACTACTATGTACTATCTGCTTCCACAGCTTGTCCATAACCTACAGATGTACTGAAAAGACTCCCAGATAATTTCATATGTGTGCATTTGTTTATTTACATAATTATATTGTGAATGACAGGTAAGTGCTGGCATTGTAACAAATTTTCTAAAAACAGTCCCTTAGTGGGGAAAACAAAAGGAGTAATTATTACATTTTTATTAATTTATTTTAACTTATTATATAAAGTATCATGGTACAGATAAACAAGACACTATAGCAACATTTGGAGAAGACATGTCCCCAAATGGGATAAAA